TGATTAGAATTATGGAAATACTTACCTCTACTAAGGATGGGAAAAGTAATGGAGTAAAGAATAGGTAGGAGGGTCCAATTAGGTAGGGTATACTTTTTAGACACTAAGGCACTAAACTTTTAGTATATTACGTAACTAGACTAGCGCGTTATATAATAGCTACTACCTAATTAGGCTAAAATATGTATATTTACGCCCTACCACCTCTTATTCCACCTAATTATGACTAGATCTAAGCTGGTAGATTATAGGCCATTATTTTACCATTACCTCTAGAGTAGGGCTCTTAAGAACTCACCTAACTTAATTAGGATAACTCGGCGCAAAATGGCATAAAATGGCCAAACCTACTAATACATGATACGAATAATGCCTATATTAAATACTAGCACTATCTATGGTACCATTACTTATAGAGAATCCACTCTCGGGGCGAGAGTATCCTTTTCAGGGGGATAATGTTAGACCTCCCCTACTATGGACTAGGCGGCTCACCCTAAGGTTATGTGACTTAGACTATATAGTACTAGGAGCTGGCGGGTAGAGCCTATTAGTGATTCGTCTATCCTATACCTAAATACTACTATCTCTCTACTTATTAGATATAAAGGCGTGTTCTAAGTATCTTAGTGTTGTTATTAGATGGCTGGGGCGGAGGCCGGAGGTAGGATATTGAGACTTGGCCGAAATAGGGCTAGGATAGGTTATCTGCCAAGACCCACACAAAAGGGCGCCCTAGATAGAACCTCGGCCAATACACTAAATAATGAATCCATCTCATCTCTAGATCACCGATATTCATTAAATCACTATATGAATCTAACACCACTATTAAAGTTAAGGCTATACTATTTACCCTATACCTCTAATAGCTAGTGCCATACTTTAACTAATTAGCTAGTAGATAGGCCACCTATCTAATAATCTATTACCTAGCTATTAGCACGCGACATCTCTAAGATATATTACTACTAGTAGTATATCTATACTTATTAGGTAGCCTCTAAAGTTACTATAATAGGTAGTGTACTTACTTATATAGTATACTTATATATAAAGTACATTATAGAAAGTAAAAAAGAAAGTAGATATAGTAATAATGTTATGGGCCAGATGCTCGAGGAGCCAAGATAGCCAGAATAAATATTTATAAATTCACGAAGACTCGAAGTTAAGCTTCTACTACTAAAGTTATATATCTGCCCCCCAAAGCTAATATCGGGTCTGAGGTCCCAGCCAGTCCTAGGCCGAGATAAGACCTCTAGGGCGTAGCCCATTACATACCCCCCTACTCTACCCTTCTAAGGGTTATTCTATGGTGGGAGGTAGTCCCTTTATATTATAGGCTCGCGTAGGCCTATCTATTTAGGCCTCTAGATTTACTTTCTTGCTCTAGAGTTATAGTTTATTATAGGGAGAGACCCGCTCCTACGCTTTAGGTGTAGGAAGTAGTCTTCTTAAGGTTATAGGGTCTAGTTCTCCCTAGGACATCTCGTATAGTGTAGATCTATAGGGTGGGGAGTAGGGAGTTCTTAACCTAGGCTAGGCGTCTTTATTAGACGCGTTCTAAAGGCTCTAAAAGTACCTTATTATAGTTCCTAAAGTAAACTTCTATCATTCCCCCGCTCTAGTGGTCTATTAATATAGTACCTTCCTAGTCTAGGTACTATATTAGCGGGGTAAGGGAGAGTAGGGTAAGGTCCATTTATTATTTTATAGCCTCTAAAAGTATATCTCTTACTCTCTTACTCTATTACTATAATACTATTACCATAGTGCCCCTCGCCGCCGCTTATAGGAATAATGTAGCTATTTAGGCTATGGGCTTAAAGTTTACGTAGGCCTAGAAGTAATTTAACCTAGAGCTAGTAAACTATAGGCGCGTTATAGCTTATACTAGAACCCTAATAGGTATAGTAACCTAGGTCCCTACCACGAGTCCTTAATTCCTTAGCCTAATCCTATATAAGTAGCGCCGTGTTACCTCTACTCTTAAGGTACTTATAGGTCTTATACCGCTCCTAGAGGTTATTATATATTCGCGCTTTAAATATACTTAGAATATAGGCTAATAGCTTCTTAGGCTATAAACTACATTCCGCCTACTATAGTGGATAATGCTAGGGACTCTAATGGTAGTAATAATAATGATAAGGGCAAGGAGGTCACTATTAAATCCAGAAGGGTAGCTAGTCCTAAAGGGTTAGGGTTAGTTCTCGGGCAAGATAACTGAGGGAAGGGAAGGGGTTTTATCGAGACGATAGTA